GGGTGGGTGGGTGTGGTGGGTGGGGTGTGGGTGGGTGGATGGGTGGGTGGGGTGTAGAGTGTAGAGTAGAGTAGACTTTCGTAGAGTAGAGTGTCATAGAGTGTCATAGAATAGAGTAGAGTGTTGTAGAAAAAAGTGTCGTAAAGTAGGGCAGAGTACATACAGTAGTGTCGTAGAGTAGAAAGTCGTAGAGTAGAGAGTCATAGAGTGGAGGGTCATAGAGTAGAGTGTCGTGTCATAGAGAAGAGTAGACTGGCGTAGAGTAGAGTGACATAGAGTAGAGTCTCGTTGAGTAGAGTGTCGTGGAGTGTCGTAGAGTAGAGTGTGTGTGTGTGTGCGTGTGCGTGTGAGTATGACATGTGTATGTGTGTGAGTGCCCTCAGCTGTGTGTGTGTGTGTGTGTGTGTGATGTTTTGTGTGTAATATATACCCTAGTTGTCAGCTCCATACCAGATTGTATGCATACAAACCATAGAGCAAGTAGAGCATGGCACACATGTGGTACTGATATTCACAAAGGTTCAGGATAAGGCTCAAAACAAACAACCGGTCGTCAAATACTATTCTGAAGATTGGTCAGCCAACAGAGGCGACAGTGAAAAGCGTAGAAGTAGACAGGTACCAGAAACTCATTCACATTCATCATTTACGAGAAGAAAATCGCACTGCCACCGGGTGAGGTATTACAGCCCAAAGAAAGTGAAGGTCTATGAATTGAGAACACAAAGAATATTGACCCAAGGATTGCCCTCGACACCTCTATCCCCCCTGAATTACGAAAAGACCTTCTTGAAGATAGAAAAAAGAAACCATCATCCGTTCACAAACAGTTATCATGACACTCTGCACATGTCTCCCTAGGAACTCCCATAAGTGAAAGCAGATATGCTCTCTATCCTAAATCCCGCGTTAATCTCTGCTGTCATCAAATATCACATTCATTCCTCATTCATCACCGACATCCACCTATCACCAAGTAATCCTACTCACAACTTGTAACTGTCTCACTGTACCCATCATCCACCTTATCGCGATTTCCTCCTCCATCCATCCCTAATTATCCCACAATCACCTCCCATGAGTAACTCCTCCCATCTACCCTCCCAAGAAAACTCAATCTCTCCGCCCATCGAAGATGCGTTGATCATACGAAGCGTTCGGATCCCTCGGAATCCTCATCGCCGCCTCTTCCGCGAAAAAAGTTCCTATGCCAACCCACATACACCGATGCAACAATCCACCATACAATACGGACAACAACATGACGCACACAAAGGAGGACCTGAGAAAGATGTAATTCGAAAGATAGCAACTCACCACTTAGACAACAGGGGTGTGTGTGCGTGGGAACCAGAGACAACCTCCAAAGGACTTCACACCGTATTACCACACGAAGGGTAGGGTGATGAAGAAAGGAAAGCGGGATGGAGCAGCTGGGGATTAGTGGCGAAGTCGCTAAAGCTAGCTTTTCGCTATAGGCCACTCAAGACAGCTCATCAGAGGGAGATGTACAAAAGAGCACACTTCATCCATGATCGCCTACGTGGACGGTTTCACACACACCCAAGGAACCATAGATTTGCACCAACAGATCTGAAAAAGGGGAAAGGGGAAATCCAAGCCATTCAAAATCCAAACTCACCGTGTGATCATCTGCTTCTTGAAGAAGCTCTTCATCATGGAGCATCTCATCCACTGATGGGAGGTATTCCCGCATGGCCAACATCACTGCGAATAGCAGAGACTGCTGGGAACGACGAGTACCGAGCGTGCTTTCACGCGACCGTCAAGAACACAATCGACGCGTCCGCAAGGTCATGTATGTTGCGGGCAACGAAAAACTCTTTTCGACACTACTGATGGCAAGACAGATGATAGGAAAGCGATGAACTAGAGCAGTGGCGCTACAGAGGATTCCGAATTCATTCGGTCCCCGTTATAGGCTACCACTCTGATGATAGAGGGTGAGCATATTGGATGCTCCGGTTAAATACGCAGGTTCATCACGTCCGTTTTTGGGTTGCATCCAACCCGCTACCCGGATACCGTTATCAATTGGTCTAAGGTCAGTCCTAGTTCCTTACCCAGGTCCCATGAGACCGTTTTTTTCAGGGGGCAGGTGCCCTGGTACCGGTACCCTTCATACTGAGACTAGACCCGGGAATATCCCTCTTTTTTTTCTTTTCTTTTCTTTTTCTTTTTTTTTTTCTTTTTTTCTTTTTTCTTTTAGTAAGTAGGGGGGCTGAGATCCAAGGTTTTCAATCGACCAGTCAGTATACCATAAGTCTGAAAAAAAACGGGGGAAAAAAAATCCTTTGTAAAAATCTCCTACAAGTAGTAATGTGTGTGTGTGTGTGTGTGTGTCTGTGCGTGTGTGCGTGTGCGTGTGTGTGTGTGTGTGTGTGCGTCTGTCTGTTTGTGTGTGTGTGTGTGTGTGTGTGTGTGTGTGTGTGTGTGTGTGTGTGTGTGTGTGAGTGAGTGTTGGCCAAAGTTCAACAG